GAAGTTTAAGCGTCTAATTACTTTTTTTTTCTTTTTCTTTCAGATTTAACAACTTAAGTATTTGGTAATTTCAACCATGGAAAGATTAACAATCAAACAACGTGTTAAATTTATCGAAGCCCAGTACACTTTGGAGTACACAATCGCAGCCTTTATACGTTGTGTTCCATATAAAGGTTGTTCCAATAACTTGGCGATTTTAAATGTGAATTAACTTTAAGCGTCTAATGATTATTTTTTTTTTATTTCAGATTTAACAACTTAAGTCTTTGGCAATTACAACCATGGAAAGATTAACAATCAAACATGTTAAAGTTATCAAAGCCTGTTACACTTTGGGATACACAATTGAAACCTTTATATGTTGCGTGTCATATAAAGGCTGTTCCAATAACTTGGACCGATTTTAAATGGGAATTAAGTTTAAGCGTCTAACGATTTTTTTTTCTTTTTCTTTCACATTTAACAATTTAAGTATTTGGTAATTTCAACCACGGAAAGATTAACAATTAACTTGTTAAAGTTATCAAAGCCTATTATGAAAATGGACGTTCAAACAGAAATGCAATTCACGCATTTCGTGATTTTTTAAATTTTTTATTTTATATTTATAGTCAACATAATCGACCAACCAAGAGTGCAATTGGAAACGATGTAACGTTGTTGTGGATAGGTTCAATTCTTGCGCGCGATGTCGAATAGAGGGGTCTGGATTTTCGGCCACATTCTCGTGCACTGCAGCAATGTTTTCATCCGAACGGCGTAAACAAGCATGCAATGGTGTTTTCACTTCTGCTACCGACTCAGTTTGTTTGAATTTACGAACAATTTTTTTTCCAATTGCACTGTGGAAACTTTCATATGGACATCTTGTGTCTAACTTATCAAAGGTATTATATAGATGTAACCATTTTCTCAGATCGATAAGCTTGGGTGTGTGGGTGGTGTAATAACGGCTCGTAATTGCAAGTTGGCCAGCCGAGTTCCAATTCCGCTGGGGTTCGCTATATTCACTTACGCGCAAATAACCTATGGAAAGTTACCTCTTCTCCCCCAGCTATGGGTTAATTAGTAAGGCGCGTATCACTATACAATTATTATCACTCCCACCACAAAAAAAAGAATTCTTACAATCTAAAATTATCTTCTGGCTTTATATAACTTGAAAAGGTTGATAAGCCGTAGAAAACGATTTAATCAATCAATCAGATCAATATATTCAATCGAAATTATTCTATAAATATTAAAGAAATCGATTCTTCATCAGACCACATACTGTATGACACTACAAAATCATTAACGCGGAAAACTCTTGACCCCTTCCAACAGTAACAACAACAAAAAATAGGTAACACATGTAAAACTAATGAAAATACTTATATAATTTGGCTGTTAATATTCCACAATTTCTTAAAAATCATTTCAACACAAACAAGGCGATAATGCCACTAGGATGTAAGGGTTACTGGAGGTGAAAGAGAACGAAAAGATGAAAGGTGTTCCAATAACTTGGATTGATTTTAAGCGTGAATTAAATTTAAGTGTCTAATTTTTTTTTTCTTTCAGATTTAACGTCTTACGTCTTAGGCAATTACAACCTTGGAGAGATTAACAATCAAAAAACGTGTTAAAGTTAACGAAGCCTTTTACGAAAACGGACATTAAAACAGAACGTCACTGAGAATTTCACAGGTCGCATCTCTCGAAACAGCGAAGTCAATTAGCCACCACGATCCATCGACTTGACGCCTTTAGATTTCTTCCTTCTCAAAATAAGGTCTATGCCAACAAGCCAACAACAATTCAACAGCTGAAGGATGAAAAATGAGATAATATCAAGGAGCAATTATGCAGCATTTTCATCAAAATTTTGACCATCGAGTGAAGTGTGCCGCCGAAGCGTTGGCGGACATTTGAGCAATATTATTTTTCACACATAATTGCCATACCTTAAATAACATGATACAATAGAGAAATAAATAAATTTTCACCAATAACACTGATTTATTTATTGCTGACTTTGATCCGTCTTAATGAAACACCCTTATGCATAATTCGCCTTAATGAAATACCCTTTATTATTCACCAGGTTATATGCTATCGCGTGATAAAATAAATACCTGTTAGCCGGTTTGCTGAACTATGGCAGAAGCTATCTGCGCAGTTAGAATGAAAGTAGGTTTCATAATGCGCATTCGTAAACAAACGGTAGCCATTTGAATGAGATATCCTGAATTTTTAAGTCTCCACTTAACAGACGTTTCAAATATTAAAATGGGTTGTTTGATCTTGGACATAACGAGAAAACTTTAAAATCTTCATAGAATGTGAATCAACAATCTGAGAAAGTAAATTCAATTAATTTTTTCTCTCTTTTTTTTTAAAAAAAAATTATTTCAATCTAACCAATGAAATGAAGAGGCGGGAGGTTGCTTAAAATTAAAGAAACTTTGAAAACGCTATTGAGGAGAGAGCCAGAGGAGACATTAAAATATCAGACTTCAAGGAGACGGTATCTACCAACTACGCAGTCAGATGTGGCACAAGGCCGAATTTAATGTGTGTTTCCCGAGCCCTTAGGCTCAGCCAAAAATTCCCCGTTGACCACGTATAAAACGAGGTCGGGTTGGTGTTTCCCCAAGACGAGATTCTGCCCTTCGACATAGCCCCCGTCTGAGGATGCTCTCTGCCTTAACCAGCCCAACTGAAGTCGAATCTCCAACTTCAGGCGACAGATGTCAATAGATGTTGCATTTAAATTATTGAAGGTTTTACTTGCCAGGGAAAGCTGGAAACCAAAAGAGAGTTCCACACGCGAGAAGTACGAGAGAAGAAACAGTTAGTATAGAACTTGCGGTTACATGCGTCCGTGAATTGAGTACTGTTGCCATATCTGGCCCGGTGCCGCAGCTGTTCATCTCAAGGTTCTTGACAAAATCTAAAGAAGGGTCTGCGCTGTAATCTCGACTCCAGTCATTTTCTTACAGACGTGATGTGGCTTCTCTCTGTCTGTTCTGTCGATTTTTTTTATCATGGTGACCGATTTTAGGAATTTAAGTGCTACTAGGCTAGCATCTAAGACTTTTACCGTTGAAATAATTAAATATAACCGCCACCTCTACTCCAACATCGTCTTTCCTCGCAACTCACACCTGTGGAATTCCCTTCCGTTTACTTGCTTCCCTGAGAAATATAATCTTCAAAAAATTAAATGAAACGTCAATCGTCATCTTCGGATGTCTTGACCCCTATTCATCTTTTATCCTTGCCTCATTCCCCCTTATGCACAGTTTTTTTTTTCTCACACATTCATTCGATGTAACCCCTTGCGAACAAGCGGCACTCCCGCCTTTCTTGGGAGGAAGTGCTTAAAAAAATCTAAATCAACAGTAAAATGAAGAGACCTAGCTGCCAATCTAGTACTGCGCTTAATTTCGTGAAGTCCCAACACCAAAGAGGAAAGATCATCAGAACCCTTTTAAATATTGATAGAAAAGATAAAGGACTGCGGTGGAAGAGTAATTCATGCGGGTGTACCAGGTAAGGACCAATAATTTACCCTATTTACATAGTTCGGACTGTTATACTCATCTGTATTGTCATATTGACGACGTTTCGGCCGTTGTACGCTCCGACATTCTTCAGGATCTGTGTATATTTCTGAGATGAGGTACCGTCATTATTTATACTATTTACATTGTTCAGACAGTTGTCCTCGTCTTTCTTGCCATATTCACGACGATTCGATCGTCGTATTCTCCGGCCCTCCTCACGTCACTGGAATTTCTAACAGAACCCTTTATGAGGTTCACTGCTGTAGATTGTTCTAGTTCCACGTGCCATGTCTCTTCTTTTTTTATGTGTTTACGATAAAGCTCTAAATGTTTGGACGCCATGAAATATTAGGTTGGTGCAAAAACAATGACGTAATAATGTCGTTTTTTGACGTTAAAAAATACGTCAAAAAACGACATTTTTTAATCATTATTTACGTCAGCCTTAAATATCTGCATCTTCTTTGTAACGGAATGTCATTTGGCTTAAAATTTCTTTGGATGCTTGAAAAATTGGTAGTCAATGGGCGGGTATATCAGAAGAAATATGGCGGTTGTAGCAAAGTATCCTTATCCCAAGTCAGCGAGCTTCTGCTGTGTCGTCCTGGCAACATATGGCCGAACATTATCATGAAGCAGAATTATTAGGTTGGTGCAAAAATAATGACGTAATAATGTCGTTTTTTTACGTTAAAAATACGTCAAAAAACGACATTCTTACGTCATTATTTTTACACCAACCTAATAGAACTCATTGATTAACCAGTGCCATTCGAATTTTGCTCAAGTGAATGTGCATTTCATACAGTTGCTGGCAGTAAAGTTCGGCAGTGTTTCTCTAGTTAGAGTCCAGTAAGCTCTAATAGATAATACTAATGGGCGGGGGGGGTCACCAGATAATCACCATAATCTGTTGGGGCAGTTACGGTTTTGGAAATTGTTTAGGTCTTTCGTCATGATAAAGCCATTTATCCAATTGTTTACGATTGTCAGAAACGATTCATTTTTTTCCTCAAAAGTCATTATTCGATCAACATTTGGATCAGCCGAACCTCATACAAATTAACGTCGAAGTCTTTACATTACAGAGTACATGTAGAACCCAATTAGCGAGTCCCTTCTTCGTGAAAATTGACACCGCTTATCTAAGACATTTCTCTAACATTTTGACATTACTTTTGTTCGACTAGTGTTTTCAGATATTGATTGTTAATTTCAAACGAATGTCCTCTACCAAATCTCCAAGAGCGGACTGTCTAATGCGGAATTTCAGGCAACAGCGCCATACTGTCCCATCACAAGTGGAACCCTCATCCCAAGCTCTGTTAATATTGGCAACAGTTTGGGAGACATTATGATGAATCTTCGACTCTTGCA